ATAATAATATTAAATATATTACTATAATATTACTATAATATAATATTAAATATATTACTATCAATATTAATGATTTATTTTTTCTTTTTTTTTACAGTCACTATTTTTAAATATGATGAACGTTTCAGAGTATACAATTCTAATTTTATATCATGCAACTATAAATTTCTTTTACATATACTTGGAGATATGTCAAATTTCTATGATTCAGTCATAGCTGAGCCACTATTTCTTTCTGATGAATGTTTCGCAAAAACTGCTTGTACAATCAAATTCTTAGCCAAAAAAATATTGTTTTGTACAGATATTTTTGACAATCAATTTTCAACTTTCAAGTACTTAACTCTTTTTTTCTACATTGGAAGCGCTATATAAGAAAATAACAGAAAGATTTTATTGAATGTTAAAATTTGCAATTTTGTACTTCATCATCAAAATAATTCTGCAAGTGAATTTTACTGTTATTCAAATTTCGATTTTACAATAAAGTGTAAGAATTGGTATAATAAATTGTAGTATGTTATTAATTTTATTAATTCAACATAAGAAATATAATTCAATTTAATGTTTGTTATTTTCAAATTACACTTGTTACTTCCGGTATTTAAAACATATGTTTTCATGTTATCTTATAGGAATATTATATTTTTAAAATATTTCTCTAATTAATCAAGTAATTTTCAATATTGCAAAAAATTTTTATATAAATTTAATGTCTTTTAATTAACAAATAAAAGGTATTGGCAGTACTGAAACTTTTGTGACATATTCGTTTTAATTAATAAATTTAATAATTTAGTTTATAGTTTGCCACATTACCACATTATTTATTCTACAATGTCTACTATATAATGTGTTCTAATTTTATGTACAGACATTAATATGTAAAGTAGCAATTAATATATGATTATAACAATTGAATAGAAATAATTTTTTCAGTTTCCATATTTAAATTCCCTAGATAGAAAAAAAATAATCTCTAGGTAAACAGATCTGAAAAGAAGACACGCGATGGAAAGCGTAAATATTTACATTTCTTGAGTGTTTGTGAGAGTAATTTTTATTTATAATCATGATAGACGGAAATATTTCCATGGAGGAGGACACAGAATTACGAGATTTAGTAGTGCAAACCCTTGAAAATAATGGTGTTCTTGCAAAAGTGCGGGTATGATAGAAAATCTTTTTAAGAACTATATCTTTTTTATAGGTTATGTTCATCAAAGGATTTTCTTTCATTAAAATTATAATTTTTGACTTAATATTGATTTTGAAATTTTTTATGATGTTATAGGCTGAACTCAGGGCAAGCGTATTTTTAGCTCTAGAAGAACAAGAATCCGTAATGGTATGTTAAAATTTTGTAGAATAGATAAATCCAAATAAATTTCTTTTTTCGTGTATTTTTATATAAAAATTGGCCCTTTATATGATTTTAAATATATAGAATAATACAAATAAATTTTAAACAAAAATTGCAATTGAACTTCAATATTTATCAAAATAAACATTGATAATGTTTCTCACAATAAAGACATTGATTTTGAACATATGGTATTATTTAGCAATATTAAATAAAAAAATATGCTTTATACATAACAATTAGCAAGATGTATATTAATATTTAAAAGAGACTTTATAGAAATTAATAGAAATTATGAAGATCAATTGTTGTTCTTTCATTTTCATTGTATTATTTTCTTGTGTTTACATAACATACAATAATACATGTGAATATATACTTCTAATGTTGCAGCTTTTTTTAATATCCTATATGTTATAATATTCTATATGTTATAATTAAAGTTTTCATCATATAAAATTTATATTTCAGAATCCAGAACCACTTCTCAATAAAACCGTAAAACAGTACCTGGCTAATTCAGAAGGAAAATTATTGTTTTCCTTGGTTAGGGAGTTCCTAGAGTATTTTGGTCTTGATTATACAATATCTGTATATGATCCAGAAACTTACTTTGGAAAAGAATATAATTATGTTGGAAGAAATAAATTATGTGAAGAATTAGGTATTGAATCTAATGAGCCATTACTTGGAGAAATTTTAAAAAATAGCATGAATAGTGCCTTTAATAACACACAGAAGGTATCTAGATCAAGATAATCCCTAATCTTGCTGTTTTTAAAAATTAAGATAATATTTATACATTAAATTATTTAAAAATTAATTATATAAACAAATTATAAATATTTTTATAGAATGAAACTGACAGCAAATTTAGTACAACTGAAACTACAACAAATATAGCTAATACCACATTTGAAATTTCCATTCCAAAAGTATTAAATAATGAAACCACATCATTATCAAATGATAATGATGTATCAGATAAATTAGAAAGCATTTCACAGCAAAGTCCAAAACTTCCAATAAATGTGACAATAACTGATAAGAAAAATAAAGAAACATCTGTTCATGTTTCAATAGATGAGTTAAATTGTGAGATACAAAATGATTCTCTCAGGAATAGTACAACTTCTGAATACAATGAAAAAAATGATGGAATTGATAGCAAAGGGAACAATAGTACGAATTTTGATACACTTGCTACAAGTCCAAATGGCACAAGTACAGTAATGAATCATACAACAAAGGAGACTGAGATAGATACACTCATTCAAACAAGTTTACTAAATAAAACCGAGCCTTTAATTAAGTTTGATGAATCTATAGTTACTGAAATGCAAACAAATCAAAATGAAGATATAAATAAGCAAAATAATATAAATAGTTTGGAATTACAAATAGTAAATAATATACAAAACAAAAAACCAGTTAATACTGGAAACAGTTTTGGAAAAACTGTATACTTTGAAGAAATTATTGTTGATGGAAAAAGAGAGAATATTAATGATATACATAATACTGACACCTTTTTACAAGATTTACCATCTTTAGATAAAAAATCACATTCTATACTTAGTAATCTCCCGCCATTAAATGGTAAAAAAACTAATATTAATGACTTAAAGGAATTGATGGATATTGGGCTTGGTAGGTTATTATATATCTTTATAACAAATTTTTTATATTTTTTGATATTTTTTTATACTTTTTGAATCATAAACATGATATTTTCAGGAACTGATGGTATAGATAATTATGAAGAAGATTTTATTTCCTCTGCATCTGGTAGTGCTTATGATCAAAGTCCTTCTAAGAATCCTGAAAAATCAGATAGTCCAATAAAATCACAGACGCAAAAACAAGATAAAATTCATAGTAATAGTGAGGATATAAGTGAAGAAATTGAAGATATAAATGATATACTAAGCAGTACATCGTGTGTAAGTAAAACTTTATATGAATTTAAATCCATTCTTTGACATATAATTTTCAGTATGAAAATAATTTCTTTTATAATATTTAAATACTTTAAATATTTGCATGTATAATTCTATTTTAGCTTGAAGATATGAACATGGATAAAAATATGTCAAATTTTGCAACGGGTATTACAGCAAATTGTGCAAAGGAACTCCTGTAATTCATGAATTGCACCACTAGAGAGTTATTGTAAGAATTTTAAAATGTTATTTCATTTATAGCATTGATATTCAATATCCTATATCAGGGCATCAAGTATATTAATGCAAATTGCTATGAATTCATAAATTTGCAAAATTATTTGATTTCTAACATGGCACTGCCGTTTATGGCTCAATACTTATAAGTTTCCTACAAAAAACGTAGAAGGGAAATGTCTGAATACATATTTATAAATGTCATATTTTCCCTATTTTATAAGAACTTTTTATCAAAAATGTATTTTTATAAATCATGAATTTTATTTTAACAGTATTTAAGAATTTTTAAGCAGAAATTCTATCGAAATATTCTATATTTATCTACATTGGTGACATGAAAAACTTAGCTTTTTCTAAAATCAAATATTATTATAACTAAACTAATGAACTGCCATTATTTTTTGCTATTGTAATAAAGTAAATTATATTTTTTGTATTGAGATTATTAAAAGTAAGGCTTACATAGAAGAAAAATTTTTATAAAATATATGTTATAAACATGTTTATAATTTTATAATATAAAAGCAATTAATAAGAATTAAAAATGAAGTTGATATCAAAAATTGAAAAATGTTATTTAATTAAAGTGAATATACTTTTGTATTCTTATTTTAAATTATGGTACATTATTAATTAAATTAAAAAGAAATATTAAAATTTCTGGTTGTATACTTTCAGACAAACTGCCTTCTACGTTATTCTGTAAATATATCTAGTATTATTACTTATAAAATCAATTATCTCAATGTTAAAAAAGTGATGAAAAATATCTTAAAAAAAGTGAAAAGTAATCAGTTACAATAATGGTTGTTGAATACTTAGTTATATCTTTCTAAAAAATTTTGTAACAATTTTGTTATGTTTATCAAAATAATTCCTGTGTCTGATTTTATGACTAGAGCGTCATTACCTCATTTAACTAAAGTTATTGGTATAATATTGATAGCAATATCAGTAAATCATCCGTCTAAAAATGGATTGCCTAAAAAATATATAAAATTATTTTTCTTCAAAGATAATGGTGCTAAACGCATGAAACTAAAAGTATTTATAAAAGTTGAAGTTGATATTCAATGAAAGATTAGGTGCTTATATGTTTTCTTGCATCCATGAATTGTAATATTTAAATAACTAACAGAAGCTTTAGATTAAGCAATTCAATTTTTGGGCAATCCAATACCTTGATAAACATATTGGTATGAATATACTATGCCCCAAATAAGATGCAATAACTAAGTACAATTCATAATGGATCAACTGGATGCTTGACAAATCAAAATCTGTTTGTAGCAATTGTACAGCCTGCTTCCTTCACAAAATTTTTAGTAGCACACGTTTATTGTAATATCATCAATAGTAAATATTATGAATGATTCAAACAAAGAGATTTCATAGTTAATTAATATGCTTCAAAATTCTATTTGTACAAGATTAATTCTGTTAAAAATATATAAAATATACATATTATTTTTATAAAAATTGGTCAATAGTATTAAAAAATATTTTATTTTCCATTATTTTAATGGAGAACTTTTCAACATATATTTGCTCATAAATCATTTGAATTTGAAAACATAAAATCTTTATTTTTTACAATATTAAATATAATGAAATCCCTCAGTTTGAATCAGCTTTTATTTCTATGTATATATTAAAGCAGGTGTGTTCCTGACCAATCAACGTGGTTACATTTTAATATTGACATAACATATAATTTTATAAAAACAATTTCAGGATGATACTGAACATTCCTACACTTTATAGAATGTAAAATATAGATACATTCCATTGTTATTAAGATTATTGCACTTTTGTTGTATTGTTAACATTAGTAAAGAAATTTACATAATAAGTATTTTTCACCATTAATTATAAGACAGAAAGGGAGAAAGTAAATTAAGAAATGTTTCACAACTTATCAAACAGTATATCAGCAAATTTTATTTTATATTCTGACAAAACTAGAAAATGTTTTATAAGCATTTCTTATGCAGGGTACATAACATTTTTATGTTTATGCAATTTTGGAATTGATTTCAATTAATCTTAAGCTGATTAATATGAAATTAGATATTCTATATATATTTTAATATATACAAAAATCTCGCTATAACACACACACACACACACACACACAACACACACACAGAGTGAATTAATAAATCATCTGAAGTATAAAAACTTTTTTAATCAAATCAATAAATGAGATATTCTAGATAATAATTTTTATTGATTCACTCTTTATATAAATATTTTTTTCCTTTTTCTCTTCGGAAAATTTATAAGATGTACATTAGTGGTACATAATGAATACGTAATCTTTTATTTTATATTATATAACAGACGTAAAAATAAATACAATATAAAAGAGGTTGAAAATATATTTTTAAAAATTAAAAAGAATATTAATAAATTTTTATATTATAAATATATATATATATATATATATATATATATAT